TGCCCAGGGTCACACAGCTAGTAAGTATCAAATGTCTGATCTGAGACAGGATTTGAATTCAGGTCTTCCTGATTTTTATCTCCTAGGTTCAACTCTGCCTTTTCCGTCTCCCGCATCATCCCCAGCCAATCAGGAGATGATGCTTTGCAGTACCTCTCCCACCTGACCCTGCTCTGCCCTCACCCTAGGACTCCTTCACACAAGGGCCAGAGCCAAGGTCAGCCTGTGCCCTCTAGGGCTCTCTCCTGCTCTGGAAGCCTTTCCCACCCTGGCTAGGAGGGCGAGTGGGAGTCTCTCGAAAGGAAGAGAACAGCTCTCCTTAAAAAGAGTCTCACCTCTGCCGCTCCTCCCGATTCACATCATCTTCTTCAGCATCTGCAAGGCCCTTTCTGTACATCCCTTCATTCTGTCCTCTCCACAACTCGTGAGGGAATCATTATTCCCAATACCGAGATATGGAAGCAGGCTCAGAGAACAGGAAACTGGCTGGCCTCAGCTCGAGGCCCCAGGAACTATCTGAGTAGGGATGGGGACGTCAAGTCCAGCCCTCACTGATGCTCTCATCCTTGTCCTGACTGAGGTGACAGCCAGCCTCCTCCATGGTCTACATCAAATCTTTAATTGGTTCAAACAAAGCGTGTCTGCCAAGTACTCAGAAGAGCTGAATAAGCTGCCACACAGAACGCAAGGAAGGCCTCCTGCATCAGGTACCAGACAAGCACCTAGAGAGGTATAAACAACCCCATCGTGCAGACAAAAATCAAACAAATCCCATGTGTCCTTCCTCACAGGCATCTCAACCCAGGCAGCCCTGACAAGTCACTCCATGTGCGGCCATTACCCAGACCCATCACTGCCACCTTGTTGAAAATAACATTTCAAAGCCAGTCTGATGTCCAATCCCCAGGCTGGACTGCACTTGAATCCACTGCCTACTGTGTGTGAAGAACACCAATGCCCCCTCTGGCACCTGTGCATACTCTCAGTTAGGCAGGAAACAGGTGGCAATAAACGTCTTCTAAAAAGTTCAGCCGTTTAAAACTAACTGGGCCTTTTCCCTACACAGGTGAATAAAGGGGGCATATTTAAAGCATCCTTTGCTTTCTAAAACTATCACTAACTAAACTAATTCCATTATTGGCAAAATTAGGAATCTTACTATGAAAAGCTTTATCCCAGTCTCTTGGCATACTGGACATAAATGTATCTTTCCCACTAAGCTAACTAGTCCTAAGACCCAGCAGGAGATGGACACTAGAGACTTGGAAAAACAAGACATGAAGCCACTTAAAGAAGAGTTTCTGAAAATGATGGCTAACCCAAAGGCTTCCTCCTCGTCTCAGAATTCTATGGGAACTGAAAACACATCAACAGGACATATCTTAAAGCAGGGACCCTGAGGGGCAGGGAGGAGGCTTCACAGACTTTTAAGCTATCAAAAGAGAGCAAACGATGCTCCTTTCTGGATCTGCTTCCCAGCACACAGGCCCTGATGGGACAGAAGGAAGCAGAATCTTGTCATCTTACTCTTCACTACTGTCAGATAAAAAAGCCCCTGGCACTGAGGGAGCACAGCTTTCCAGGGTCCCCGAGGCCTCCTCGGCCTGCAGAGCCACAGTAAAAGGCAGCGCCATCCCCCAGGGGGTCTACACGGCCCCTGCAACCCTTGTTTTCTTTAACCTCATCACCAACTGTAAATTACACCCTAAACACACGTGTAACCCCAAGCCTCACTATCCTCCTGACTAGCCCCCTAAATTGAACCTTAATGCCTTCCCAAACACTGTCCCTACCAAAAAGAACACTACCCTGGCCTCGCCCTCTGGCCCTCCCTAAGACTCTCTAATAAAACCCTCTTACTAGCCTAATTACTTAGCTGAAAAAAAGGCTAAACTGCCCATATCCTTATTCTAATATATGAAAAGAGAAAACAAAATCAAAATCACAAGACAATTAGTACATCACAAAAGAAAAACAAGTTGGCCGAAAATTTTGAAAACTAGCACGGGGGGGGGGGGGGAATACTGATTGGGACCACATTAGGCACCAGAAAGGAAAAGGAAGCTCTCTCTCTATCCAGCAGCAGATTCTAAACTTTAATAAATCAATCAAACCACCAGTCGAAGCAGCTGCCAAGCTGAAGGTTTTTAAGGATGGAGGAGAATTTGGGCATGTTTTTAGGGAGTAGGGAGGTAACCAGGAAATAGGAAGAGACTGAAGCTTAGAGCTAGCAAAGGGCTGATAGAAGGAAGCAAATCTGCTGGAAAAGATGGGCAAGGGTGGGGTGAGGGGATGTTCAGAAAGGGCTTGCCCCTAAGTGACTAAAAACTGGAGTGAAGGAGAAGAGTGATGGGGGATGATAATGAGAAAGCCAGGGTCAAGGAGCACCGCTGGAGGCTTGAGGAGAGCGTGTTCTGGAAGAGAAGGAAATGTTTTTTCATCCTATGTCCTCCAAGACCAAGACTGGTCATTACATTTATTTCATCAGCCCTGAAGCTACATTTTGCACAACTCTGTATAAAACAGAAAAACAAAACAAACTTGAGCTTGTGTTTTCTACACTTTAAGTGAAATCTGCAACCGCAAAGACATTATCTGCTCTGAATGATCGTTTGGGAAAGTCTGCTCCCTTCTAATATTTTCATAAAGTATGTCCTCAATGTGTAGAGATCATTCTTATACAAAGCTAAGAAAGATGAGAACAGAAAGAACACGGAAGAGACAGAGGCCACATGAAGTTTCTAAGCCCCCAAATATCTGATTAGATCTCTCTGCACCTTAGGAAGATTAGTCAGGCCATAGTGTGAAAAAGACTGCCCAGCAGAGACTACTTACAAAGCTATTTCTGAATTGTGTGTTTTTCCCCAATAGACACAGGGATAGCTCTGAGTGACCTACACTTTCTCATCTGGCCCTCCTTAAGTACTTCCCCAAAATGGGCTGGGCTAGAATTAGGGGCACAGGGTGAAGCTCACTGGCCTGATCACCTTACTAACACGCAAGTCAATGAGCTAGCCCTAACATCCTTAGAAAACAGACGGCTGGCTATATATTAGCTGTGGGGATAATCTCACTCCACAGTAAAAAGGTTCTTAAACCTACCCAAAGAAGTGATTCTTCCTTCAGCTTACTGTCACAGAAAGGACCAAGGGCCATTTTTTTCACATTTTTATCTGTTCCATGGCTTGCCACAAACCGAGAATTCATCACTCAGTGGTCAAAACCTGCTGCTGCCGAGGCGCAGCTGCCAGCCGGGTCTGGCATCGGGCCTACCCTCAAACGCCTTGCAGCTCGGTAGAACTTGACAAGGCTTACGTTCTGCTGGCACGGCCTTTGAGAACTTCGAGTTACAGTCATGTCACAAGGAGGCAAATGACACATACGGAAAACCTCTCAGCCAGCTCACTGACCATGTTTACAGAACTGAATTCCACCAGCTAAAATAACCACAGTACTGTACCTCTGAACATAGGAGGGCACACCTCTAGACCAGAGGCCATTTAACTCTTTGCTCTACCAATGCTTCCAGATGCTCCTGCCCTACCCTGCACCCGCTGTATCACTAGGGCCTCAGCAGACACCTCCCACGTGGGCAGCAGTGCCTTGGGTACCGTTTCTACTTGAGACGATCCATGATCTCAGCAACGTCAGCATCCCCTCCATTGACACAGACGGCGGCAATCCTCAAGCCTTCACAAATGGTCTTAATCAGGGGCTCTGACCAAAAATTTCACAAGCCTGCAGTCAGCCTGCTGTTGAGCCTCTCAGAACTCAGCCAGACAGGTCAGAAAATATTTTTTCTAGTGTCTAATAAGTAAAAATTCTCAGCAGCTCTGATCTAAAGCCATAAAATCGGTACTTCAGTTAGGCCCATCCTGGTAGTCTATCTACCCTTAGTATTGGACAAGGAATGTCACGGCAGAGAGGGATTCAGAACACTGAGACAAGGGATTCTCCCCATCAAGTCTTCCCACTTCTTTCTTGTCACTATCAACTTTCTCTTCTGATGCGGCACCTTATCTAATGATTCCAATACAGAAATATATTTTAAGAGACAACTATTTCACCTACATTCATGTAGCACTTAGATAAAATAAAAAAGTAGCATTTCTCCCTTTATATATTTAACCCAAAATAATTATCTACCATACTTCATTAAGATAGATTCTCTTCCCACTTCGGTGTTAATCTACCTAAAGGTACATGAGACACACTGGAAGCCCATGTTAACCTCAAGAGGTAATTTAATTGCCAGGTGATATACAGGATCTGTCCTGCTCAGACTCTCCATTCTTCCACATGCTTTTCTCTAAATCATTTTCTTTGAGGTGAGAGGTCTAGAGAATCGAGTTTGGGTTGAATCACCTGGCCCAACATGCCCACAAGCAGGAACCTCCTCAAAAAAAGATCCCCGCCAACAGGCTATTCTTTCTGGTACTGAAGCCTTCTGCTGTCAACAAGGTGCTTCACGGGGTGGTGAAAATTGCTTTGGGCCAGCACAAAGTCTTAGAAAGGCTGTTTCTGTACTGGTCACTTGCAGACTGGATAAGCAGGCAAGCCAGTGCTTCCTATATGCCCTCAAACCAGCAGGCCCTTAACAGAGATGTGCTGCCATAAATCTCTGCTTTCCTTCCAAGTTACCAACAAAGATGGCAGAGCAGTGACCTTGAAAGGGGCCCTGTGTGAGATGTCCCAGGCTGACTGACCTGAGGGAACACCTCGGGGCTGTTTAACCATTCATATCCACCTGACTAATGTATTGCCATTGAGCCTATCCCCTCAATCCCTACAAAATTAAACTGGAGACATGCAGGAGACCAGCTGCCCTTAAACCCAAAGACCCTAAGGGAGAAGAACAATGCCACCTGTAAGCACTGCAGGAAAAAGAAGGCTTAGCCCCCAGGAAAAAAAAAAGGGAGCCTTGCATTTCCCAATCCATTCATCTCATTATCAAAGGTAACCAAACAACTGAAGTCGTGAGGAAATGGGGCCATCCTTACCTCCACTCAGCAGCCTCATCACTAGCCAGAGCTCATCTTTCACCACAAAGGACGTGTAGTAAGACACAATGTTAGGATGATGGCACTGGCTCATGGCTTGAATTTCTTTCTGTAAAAGGAAAAACAAATCAAGCAGTAAGGCAGGCATGGCTAAGGTCTGAGACCAAGATTCCCTGCTCTGTCTCTCCACTTCCACTCTCTCCCCAATTCTGCTGGGCCGGGTGACCAACCTGTCCTTGAGTTTGTCTCGCCCTCTCCCACCTTCACCCGTTAGGACAGGCTGCCTCCTAGGAACACGCTCCTTCCACAACTACGGAAGGCTCTGTTTCCCTCCACGGTGGAGACCTACTGTGGGGTCTGCCCGTGACACCCCAGCTTAAACTGAGCCTTTGTTCTCTCTATTTCTTATAGAACTTGTCTAGACTTCCATAATTTTAAAGTTGGAAGGGACCTCAGCAAACCAGCCAGCCAAGTCATCCCTCATTTTGTGGAGAGACCCAGGCCGGCTTCCATATCCCTCCCAGCCCCACTACTTACTGACCTTACAAAGATCATACCACTTCAGCACTACCTTCCTGTTTCTAAACCAAAGATTTAAAAGCAACAGAATCTTTATTGTGACCAAGGTTTAACAAGGTGACACTATTTTAAGATTCCACCTGAAATGAAAAGTTTTCTCTCCAAAAAAGTAAAAACAAAAAGAAATAAAACCCTACAAGACTTCAACAAGCTCTTTCTCTAGGATGAAATTTTAAAAAGAGAAATTTAACAGTCTCCTGATTATGAAATATCAATAAACATAATAAAAGGCCATGTTATTTGAGGGGTAATTATAATTACATCACCAGATAATTCCTTTAGATCAAACTATTGGCTCCATAAGCCTAAACCATTCCAGGTCTTTACCTAACCAATATCTTGGGATGATGATGAAGAGAAATGTCTAGAGATACTGCACTAAGAAATGAGGTTAACAACAAGGTCCCCCATCTGCTATTTCAAATCCCGAGAGAGGTGCTGGGCATCTCTGGCGCCAGATCAACAGCCTACTAACAAAGCCAGCGCCTCCTCTAGCAACAAGGGCCAGTGCCGCTCTCCAGGACAAATCACTCATGTCGCTGACGAAGCCTTGGCACAGCCAAGAGACGCGGCAAAGACACCACTCATCAGGAAAGGAGCCAAAAAGAAGAACAGAGGCCTGAGAATCTCACTCCAATCCAAGACAAAAGGCAAGGAGACTGGGAGGCCTCCAACGTTTGTGCTTCCCCTCCCCCCAGAGAACGCTTCAACACGTACAGAGGGCTCAGTTTGTTTTCCTCCCAGAGAAGGTGAAAAGGCTGAGGTTACTGGAAGAATTAAGAGTTTCTTCAAAAAAAGAAAAAAAAATCAAGAAGAAACAAATAATAAGAGAAAGTTTTACGTATGTATATTTGTGTGTATATTTGAACATAGCTGTAAACGTGCTCAGCGCCATGCCTGGTCCTATATAATGCTTATTCCCTTCTCCCTTCCCAAGAGAATGTAAGCTCTCTGAGGGCAGGCATTTTTCTCTCTGTCTTTTCCTTATCAGCGGCTGGCATGCAGTGGTTCCTTAATCAGTGACTGTGAACTGATCGACTGATGAAGAAGGAAAGGAAAGCTGCCACAGCTGAGACTCAGGAAGTACAAATTTCCATGGGTTCTGAGAAAGGATCCACGGTCTTAATATGCTGCTGGAGGAGATTAAAACAAGCGAGATACTGAGCGCTCAGCCACAAAATTCTGAGGACACAAGCAGATACTAAAAAGAGGAAGGAAAGGTGAAATGCCAGAGACCCAAGTGGATGCTCGGAGAACCCAGTATGATGCTCCCACCGTAAAGGGCACCAAAAATGCCCAGACAAGAGGAGCAGGCCCCCTGAAAGTGCCAGGATCTCTCACAATGACAACCAGGGGATGTTTCTTAATTTGACAAGGGCAAGAGAAAAACCGACTCCCAAACGAGACCTTTCTGACTACATAAAATTAAAAGGCCTTTGCACTTAGGAAATCCATGTAGCTGGCATAAGAAAAACTATCTCGTTTGGGTGCCTAGAGCACACTGCTGACCACAATTCCAAACGAGTTCCATTTTTTTCCCCATGCTTTTGAGTATGTCTCTGGGTCCTTCCTCAGGTTCTTTTGAAGGGGAGGGAGATGGGGAGATGAGAGCTGATCACACGCGGCTGCCACCTTTCCAATGGAAAGGGAACCCAAGCCAGCTGCTGACACTGGCAGCTGCAGCAGCCTTTCTAAGCATGGCATTGACAAGCAACTGGCCTGCCGATGAAAACTGGCTACCGGGCCATGGCCTGCTGACACCTGAGAGATCCTAATCACAAAACAAAGAGTCACAGCCCACATCAATGGGAAACAAACAAACAACGCTTTCAATTCCTTTCCAGCCCAGTTTTTCTGCCTCTGCTAGGTTCCCATGCTAGCAAACGCAGTCTGCGTGTACCAGGAGCTCATCCATGCTGGTCTGACATTTTTCCAGGTTTATCCGTTTGATAGCCACTTTCTCCTTCTTGGGGGTGCAGTACGCTGCTTGGACCACCGCCGTTGCTCCACTTCCTAAAAAAATAGTAAGGAAGAGGTGGTTAAAAGAAAGTATGAGGATTCTGTAAGTTAACATTCAGTGCACTCCATCAGAATTTAAGCAAATGGGGAGTGAATAACTTAATTCCAGCCTAAATTTTGCATAAAGAAATAGACAAAAAGAAGAGATGCACATCGGAAATAGTCCATTAGCAAACAAACACTCCCTAGATGTAGCACAGTCTCGTAGGGCAGAAAGACACACGCACACAAAAATAAATAATAAGAATAAATTTTAAAAAAAGAAAGATCACAAAGGTCACTGGGGCCAGTGGTTCTCAAACTGCGTTAGACAGAAGTGATGTTACAAGGGGCTCCACAAAGAAACCTGTAACAGTGGACCAGAGCTCCTAACAAACCAACGACAGACTCCGGCATCCGAGTCAGTTACACAATTGGATATTCATCAAAACTAGACACGTGACTGACGCATTAGACTCTTAATTAATGGTCTAGATTCAATCACTAAATGCCACCATCGGCAGAGCACACAAACTGAGGGGCTGCTGGCCTGCCCCAGGAGGACAAATAGAAAATCAGCCCTTAGCCATTTATAGTTTCAATTTGGGAGTGTTTTATTTTTTTTTACTGCAAGATTTTTTGCAGTAGACAAACTCTCATTATGGATAATTGAGCTAATCTGGAAGTCTGGGGGGCAGGAAATGAAAAGCATTAAAAACCTAATGATGAAACAAACCAGCACCAACAAAGCTTATTCGAATATAAAACCTAGATGATGACGATGATTTCCAATGTGGATTTAGGAATCCCATTCCCTGCGCCAAGAATGTCTTTTCTATCATTCCATGGCCCTCAAAGGCTTCAAAACGACAGCTCCAAATTCACGGTAGGAGCCCTTCCAGACCCAATGTCCTCTGGGCTCCTTTCCCTCTTCCCCAAGGCCCCCCCCTCCTCCCCCCCCAGCCTTTCTATATTCAATCTCTCCTCAGTGAGCAAGCACCCAAGTATCTCTGCAAAAGGACACATGGCTCAGGTATGCTGCCTCCCCATCCAGGCTGCCGTCTTGTATAGCATCACCATCTCCTCATTACTCAGATTACTGCAGATACACAACTGTAGGTCAATTTTCAATTTAACTCAAACAACATTTATTAAGCATCCATTGTGGGCTGAGCTCCCTGCCACATGCTGAGGGAGAGCTCAAGTTTGTATAGGACACTTTCCACAAAACAACCCCTTTACTAGGTGAGGAAATCAGCTCTGAGAAGTGAGGTTACTGGCCCCCACAGCTAAGGGACTGGCAGAGCCAGAGGCCTTCGGACTTTCCACTTTCCCTGGTGCCCCTGGGTCCACAGCCCACATGAAGTAGACAGCTCAGGGAACGGGACACAAATAAAGCCATTTATCTCCAACAGCTCCATTACATTAAGTAGGTAACTTGCTCGCTAGGTGAAAACCACAATCCCTTCACACTTTAAGAAGTGGGTTAATGAGCTGTTCTGACCAAAACAAACAAACAAAAAAAACCCTCTTACCAGCTCTACGGCAGCAATGCTGCCCTCCCTCAGCGAGCCTCCTAAATCTCAGCCATTAAGTGCAAAGGTGCTAATGGAGAAGGCCAGGCGAGGGAGGGAGGGAGGGGCCTCGGGTGCAGCTGCACGCCCACGCCTCCAAGGCTCCTTTCCTGACCCTGCCCGGTCCTGCCTCTCCTCCCATCTCCTCCTCCGGCTCCTCCGGGCTTCCACCTGCCCCCAGAAGCCCTCCCCTGCCCCTGCTCCACACCAGCACCTCCCTCTGAGGCTACTGTCTAGACTAGAGCTTGTCTGCACATCGTTGTTTGGACACCGTCTCCCCCAGCGTGTCCTGGAGAGCCAGGCCTATTCAGGACCTTTGTTTCTTCGTATCTCAGCCCTCAGTACGGTCCCTGGCACCGACCAGGAGCTTCAGAAATACTTGCCCGTACGTTCAGGATCTGGCACAACCTGGCTCCAACCCACCCCCGTAGGCTCACCTTCCACTAGACCCATTCAAAAGAAGAAACACAAGTTGTAAATGGCCACATGAAAAAGTGGTCAAAGAGATCAAAGAAATGCACGTTAAAACAACTCCGAGAGGCCACTTTTTGGTCACCAAATTGGAAAAATACTTCAAAGTTCAAAGCTGCTATGCCTGTGGAAGAACTGGCACCCTCGTTTTCTGGCGGAATTACAGACCAGCGCAGCTTGGGGGGAACGATACCAAACTGGACACCAGGAGCTGTACAACTAACCGCTCAACTCACTAAGCCACCGCTATGCCACCAGCAGGATATTACCAACATGGAAAAAGACCGACTCACAAAAAAAGAAATAAGATTCTAGTGCAACTATCTATGGCACAGCGAAGAGCAGGAGATGGTACGTTCATGTAACGGGCAGTTACTATTTCATAAAACATGACAAATACAAAGAGCACAAATAAATGTGGGGAAACATGAATTAATGAAGAATAAAAACACATACAAGGACACTGAACATCACAAAAATAATAGCAAAATAACCAAAACTCAGACTGAGAAATACACAAGTAAGTCTAAGACAGAAAAAGGTCACTATTATTATTACTTTAATATTAAGGACTTTTCAAAGCTGACACGTATGGTTTCTTGTACAATGTTTCTTCTTGTTCTTGTTTAGGTATTCACATGTGTTTGTCAATGTATATATTAAGAGCATTAAAAAGTTCGAGTATCTTTGTCAATGATATTTTTATCCCTGATCCTTGAAAAAAAAACAACCTTAAGTTTTCTCCAAATCCCATTAATTTGAAGGAGACAATGTCCAGAGGCACTTTTCCAACTCAGGATGGTCCAACAAAATCATTTTCTCCCCAAAGCAAAGCTACTTTTATATGATAAAATAAATCCAACGGTGCCCTGCCGCCTCACAGCGCAGCGGGCTCCTCCAAGTCTGCCTGATAGCCTTCCTTCAGCCACCACCGTCTACTGAGCACCTTGGACCAAACATCCCTAAAATCCTGAAGGGTGGCTCCCTGATGTTTGGTGCTTTCAGAAGGGACGATAAACTCTGGCTTATCTGTTTTGTGGATTATTCACAATAAAAATGTTTTAAGCCTAGCTGAGCTTTCCCTTAACACTCAGCAGGCATTCAGTTACACAAAATAACCATTTGTTACTCATAAAATGCAAAATGATTTTAATAACAGCCTGGCCAAGACATAATTATGAAGAGTGGAAATATCATAATAAATTCCAAAGCCAAAGAGAAATGATTCAAGGATTAACCATGCAACCCCTCCCTCCTCCATCACAAGGATAACAACAAAAATCTGCAGGGGTTTTTGGGGTTTTTTTTTACCTTGAGAGAAGAGATAACAGATTTCTTCTTTACTACTTCCATTCACTATAAATCAGAGGTTGCCATTTCTGCAAGTAAGGATGCGGAGTGGGATGTATTCTAACTCAACGTTACTTAGGGATGATACTATTCTTTCAGACTAACGTTTCGAGCAAACATCCCTAGAGACAAAAGACTGATCCAGACCTAATTCCAAGTTAGAAGAGAAACTCCCCAAAACCCAGGACTGGTGCTCACGTGTGAGTGGGCTGGCACACTTCCCGGTGGGTTACTCGTGAATCCGAAGGCAGTTCTGATCAACGAGCAGAAATGGCCCTGCCTCTACCTTATTAATCCATTGCTCCACATTCCTCACTAAAGAACTGAACAAAAAACCACAAGACATCTCTTCAAGTATGTGCAGACAGAAACGTCACCTGCGCAGTCTTTTTTCCTGAGCAAGAACCACTTCTAGTGCTTACAGGCTTGTCCGTCTCCATGACCTTCATGGCCAGTGCATGCCTCACACACACTGTGTTGACGTCTTGCTAGCACGGCCACAGGTGCCAGAGGGGTAGAGGATGTGGGTGCTACACCTGTCCAGTATCACAGGCCCTTTCCCATCTGGGCCACCCTGCCGCTCTCTCTCATCCACAAGCACAAGACTTGGCTGCCTGGTGATCAGAGCTCATCCCTTCTCCTAAACTGGGCCCCCCCAGACCCAACGTGACTTGTGGGAGGGACACTGGCCTGGCCTTATGCCCCCCCAAACAGAAGATCTCGCCTTTCCTTCAGGCGTTCAGAGGAAGCACAGCACAGTACAGAAGAGCCCTGGCCTCTAAGTTAGGGGGATCTGCCCTTATTCCAACAGCCCAGCTCCACACACACCACCCGCCTTAGGAGCCGCGTGCCCCTCAGCAAGGACTTCCACCGGTAGGTTGTTTCCTCATCAGTAAGGTGGAGTTCGTAACAGCAACGCCCAAGGCCTGGGGATCAAATGAGAATGTAAGCAAAGTGCTAGGCACACCTAAAACAAGATACAGGCGTGAGCTACCACCAAGGAACCAGAGAGAGCAGCCACACGCCAGCCCACGGAAGCTGACTTTCACGTGCAGCTCTCCTCACACAACTTCTCAGCTGGAAGGACAGGGCCTCCCAGGCCTCCCAAGAAGCCCCAAGGTACGAGAACTGGGCTGGGGGGGCTCTGGCTTTGCTTTTCCGTTTCCATCCAGATCCACACCAGATTCATGACCCTTCTCCTCTCAGCCTCCAGCTCCCCCACTGTCATGGTCCAGGGCACCACCTCAGTGCTCTTCTCCACTCTGCTTTCACACACCCAGCGTAGCCGATCAGTGGCCACATCTGGACCTTTCTATCTCCACATCCACCCACTTCTAGGTGAACTTTCTCCTGATCTCCCTAACTACTAGAACCTTTCTGCCCCAAGCTATCTGGGAGCCATTTTTTAAATGTATAATGCACGTTGTCTCCCCCATTCAATGAAATCTGCTCGAACACAGGACCAGTTTCCCTTTGGTCTTTCTTTCGCCCGTCACTGTGTCTGAACACAACAGGCACTAAATGAGAAGGACTGATGCTAAATTACACGGACCTTAAAGTCTATCTAAAATACTCCATCTTTTTCCAATGAATCGTCTGCTGTCTATCTCCTGCTGGCCC